TTGAACCAAGACTTGTAAATGAAATTGGAAAGATGGAACTGTTCAGAAGGCATCAATGGTTGTGTTAGCACATAAGTCACAAGTCATTGTGACTGAGGGTTTGGACATTGATCACACCACATTATACACTTTCTACCAGAAACTATGGTCTACTCAGCATAGTTGGAGCATAAACAACAGACCAGGTGTCTATAATAGGGTTGGATAGCAACACTGGCAGATGGGTGTGCCTGGAAACAAGTAATACCTGACCATTATACTCTCACCATGATGATTCTAATTCAAAAATTTTCATATGAGCTACACCTAAGGCAAAATGTACCTGATTGTTTATGTGTTTGAAGAGAAAAATAAAAATAAAATGTACTGCCCAGAACAGAGAGTGAACTCACAACCTTCAGTCAACCAGCTAGAGGCTTTTGCTTTTGCAATGTTACTCCTGTTCACTGAAATAAGATCACCCAGTGGAACTCTATAAAATTCAATCCAAGCCTTTTTTCTCTTTAGCTAGATTTTTTTTTCAATTCCCTGGAGAAACTCTGTCACACAGTTGTAGCCCCATTCTGGATATTTTACAAGTCGGTTGATTGCTGAGAAAGTCAAGTGGTGAGTAGATATTTACTTGACCCCCCACTGAGTCAGGTTGTGACACAAGGTCAGTTTTTAACATGGGGACCCTAATGTTTTCACTCGGGCCGCTGGTTCAAGCTGGTCTTAGCTGGTCATAGCTTGTCCAAGCTGGTCAGAGCTGGTCTAAGCTAGTCAGAGCTGGTCTAAGCTAGTCATAGCTGGTCTTGGCTTGTCCTAGCTGGTCCAAGCCAGAGCCGGTCCAAGATAGTCCTAGCCACGATACCACCAGCGCAGGGACAGATCCCTACACCAGGTAAGTATCCAAGTGCGTATACTCCTCCAAGGAGGAATTTACGCACTATTTAGCAATTTAGACGCTAGAAGTCAAGTGGTGAGTCGAAGAAAAGCAAAGACCAGGAAGTAAAAAAAAAAAAGAATCTATAAAAACAAAGACTCTTGCTTTATTTAAATTCTTTCTTTATGTGCTGTGTCTCCTCAGGATGTAGGCAATCATGACCCCCTCCTACAATTTCCTGTTCCTTGCTGCTCTAAATAAATTCTTTTCATTATTTCTAAACCCTGGTCCACTATCCATTTTCTCAAGCTTGTTATGCATTGCTTTCCTCTGTCCCTCTTGCCCACTATCCATCCCCATGAGTAACAGATTTTCTAAGCCCTCTTTCCTCATTATGCATCCTAAAAATGTCAACTCTTTCTTCCTGATGTTAAATATAAGTTTTCTTTTTGATTCCATTTTCTCTAAAACCTCATTCTTGCTCACCTTTTCAGTTCATAGTATCTTCAGCATCTTTCTGTAGAACCCCATTACTGTTCTTTCAAGTCTCTTCTTCATTTTTGAGTAAATTGTCCAGCATTTGCTGCCATACATTAGGACATATATCGCATAACAAGTTGAAATGGTGCAACAAAAATGTGCGGAAATAAAGAGACAGAGTACCACAAGTAAAGGAGATTTGCATAAAGCAATAAGAGAACTAACACTGGGACAAAAGACATACTCATCAACAGGCTGCATAAAATCCAAGTACAGAATGCTCATATTAGAAAAAGAAAAAATTCTTCAATACTGGAATGAATATATCGATGATCTCTTCCAAGATGAAAGAGAACAACCAGCAATACACAGAAATACTGACCAGCTGGAAATATTAAAAACCAAAGTTGAAGCTGCACTGGCCAAATTGAATAGAAACAAAGTAGAAGGGCCAGATGGAATTGTAATAGAAATGCTGGCAGCCTTAGACAGTTTTTGGTATAGAAAAGATTACAGAAATAATAAGTGAAATCTACAACAGTGGGGATATACCAGAAGATCTAAGCAGATCTATTTTCATAGCACTACCTAAGAAACCAGGAACAAACGAATGTGAATGCCACTGAAATATCAGTCTAATGAGCCACCCAATAATCAACATCATCCCAAGGGAAAATGGATGAAGAAGAAGAAAAAAATGAATGTGTCACAAATGAGATTCTGGAGATGATGAAAAGGAGACAGAAAACAATGCCAAGACATGGAACGGAATAGAGAAAACTACACAAAGAAATAAGGAACAAATGCTCAAGAAGAATGGTTCAATGAAAAATGTGCAGAAAGAGAGAGAATGAGTATCACAAATAAAGGAGATATGCATAAAAAAAATAAGAGAACAAACATGACAAAAGACATAGTCATCAACAGGATGCATAAAATCCATGGATAGAATGATGAAATATGCTCTTGATAAAATGTGTTTTGCTTACCATCCTATTCTTTACATATTCTTTCTGAGCTAAAGAGGAGAAATGATTTCTGTGTAGTATTTGTGTTGAGTCAGATTATTCATTATGATGGATCTTGTTAGTCTATTTTTTATTTAATCCATTGTGGTTTTTGGCAATATGACACTGGAAGACCATTTCTCATGTGATCACCAAAGTTAAGCAACATTGAACCTGATCAGTACCTAGATAGGTGACTGCTTGGATGCATGGGTTGTGTAATGGATAATGGCTTGGGATGAGAAATCAGAGCCAAATTTGAATTCCAGCTGGGTTCATTACATGCAAATACACCCAACTATGGATTAAATAGTAGGACTTGTATTTGAAAAATCATTCAGTCAGTTAAGTGCCATGCATTATATACACTTGTATGGTTGTGTCTTTTTTGATTCCTTACTGACTATTTTCCTGTAGTAGGTTGTTGTTTAGTAGACTGGTTGTCAATCAAGGCCATATGACCAAGTCTATCCTGCTATTTAACTCATAGCAGGGGAAGGAGAAGAGATGGATTCATGCCTTTCCCAAGGTTATTTGCATGTATTTGAATGTAATGAACCTGACTGGAATTCAAACTTAGCTCTCTGGGTAACGTGCAGCAGCAGTCATACATGACATTTGGCAGCATTAATTAACAGGCAGGTTAGGTTTAAGGCTCCAAGTTCACCACAGAGAATTGTCCTATAGTCAGTCAGTTAAGTGCCATGCATTATATACGCTTGTATGGTTATGTCTTTTTTGATTCCTTACTATTTTCCTGTAGTAGGTTGTTGTTTCTTTCTGTGGTAGACTGGTTGTCAATCAAGGCTATAGGACCAAGTCTATCAGTAGATTTGCTTTTTAAGCCCAAAGTTAAGTAACGTCGAACCTGGTCAGAACCTAGGTGGGTGACTGTTTGGAAATACTAAGTAATGTAAGCTTGCATGTGCAGGTGTTGTAATTGATAATGATTTAATATTAATCAAAAAGCCAAGTTCCAATTCCGGTTGGGTTTGTTATATTCACTTACATGCAAATGCCCTTAGCAAAGGTATGAATCCATCTTTAGCCTCTAGTTATGGGTTAATTAGCAAGATTTATATCACTAAACCCTTATTATCTCCAAAAGATATTCTTACAATGTAAAAATATTGGCTGGCTTTAAATAACCTGCAAAGGGTTGATAAGTCATAGAAAATAAATCAACCAAACCAATGAATTTCTGTACTTACTTGATTTTGACATCCCCAGTACATAGCTTGGACTGTCTCTTTTGCCATCTGTCTTCTTACAGTTAATAGATAGTCCTTTCTTCTTCCTTTCCTTTTCACATCGTACTCATTTTAAAAAGCAAATTATCTTGCAACTATTCTCAAATTCATATTCTAAGTTTTGACACCTGTAACATTTTTCCGATTGCCCGGTGAATCTAAACATTTACAAATATTTCAATCAACTTCTGAAAATATCTGGAATCTCTAGAAATATCTGGAATCTCTGGGAATATCTGGAATCTCTGGAAATATTGTTTGTCATGTCTTTGAGCCAGATGAGAGACAGTAAAACATTTTTAGTATGTTTGCTTTTGTGAGACAGAGGTAGAATTTGTTTATTTTAAAAAATGAGGGAATAAGATAAAAGGCTGGGAAGTTGGAGACTGGATGGGAAAGGGAAGGAAAGATAGGGACGAGATAGAGAGGAAAGAAGGGGAGGAGAGAAGGGGAGAAGAGCAAGAGATGAGATAAGAGAAGGGGAGGGGAGGAGAGAAGGGGAGGAGAGAAGGGGAGGAGAGAAGAGAATGGGAGAAGAGCAGGAGAAGAGATAAGGAAAGGGGAAGAGAGAAGGGAGGGGAGAAAGGGGAGGAGAGGAGAAGAGAAGGGGAGATAAGGGGAAAATAGCAGGAGATAAGATAAGAGAAGAGAAGGGGAGGAGAAAAAGGGAGGGGAGAAGGGAGGAGAGAAGAGAAGGGAGAAGGGGAGGAGAGAAATGGAGAAGAGCAGGAGATGAGATAAGAGAAGAGAAGAGAAGGGGAAGAGAGAAGGGAAGGAGAGAAGGGAAGGGGAAGAGAGAAGAGAAGGGGAGGAGTAAAGAGAAGGGGAGGAAAGAAGAGAAGGGGAGGAGAGAAGAGATGGGGAGGAGAGAAAAGAAGGGGAGAGAAGTGGAGGAGAGAAGAGAAGGGGAGAGGAGAGAAGAGGAGAAGAGCAGGAAATGAGAAAAGAGAAGAGAAGAGGGAAAGAGAGAAGGGGAGGAGACGTGGGGTGGGGAGATGGTGTGGAGAAAAGGTGAGGAGATATGAGGTAAGGGGGAAAGGGCATAAGAAGAGAGGAAGTAGAAATGAGTAGAGAGAAGATAAAGGAAGAAAAGAGGAAATGGAAAAAGAAGCGAAATAGAAAGAAGAAAATTCACGGAAATTGCCGCAGAAAATTGTGCAAAAAAATTTAGCGTGTAAAATGATTTGGGGAAAATAAAATAGAAATGATCTGAAGAAATATAAAATTGCTGCCGGGAAATCTGTTCATTCAGTCAAGTGAAACACTTATCAATCTATATCATTAGTTCTCCATAGCGATTTGAATTGGTTGCAGTTCATGCAGTGTTCATATCTAAGTCAGTTCTTTATCTATCTACCTTCCTAGGTATCTTATTCTCTTCTTATCTATTTATATCAGTCGGTCCTTTATTTATTTATCTATCTATCTATCTATCTATCTATCTATCTATCTATCTATCTTAGTGAGTTCTTATTTATGTATCTATCGATCTCTGTTCATATCTATGTATCTATTTTACTGTTCCTATCTATCTATCTATCTATCTATCTATCTATCTATCTATTTCAGTCAGTTCTTATCTATCGATCTCATTCTGTTCATATCTATCTCAGTTTGTCCATATCTATGTATCCATTTCACTCTGTTCCTATCTATCTATCTATCTATCTATCTATCTATCTATCTATCTATCTATCTATCTCGGTGAGTTCTTATTTATGTATCTATCGATCTCTGTTCATATCTATCTATCTATCTATCTATCTATCTATCTATCTATCTCAGTGAGTTCTTATTTATGTATCTATCGATCTCTGTTCATATCTATCTATCTATTTTACTGTTCCTATCTATCTATCTATCTATCTATCTATCTATCTATCTATCTATTTCAGTCAATTCTTATATATCGATCTCATTCTGTTCATATCTATCTCAGTTTGTCCATATCTATGTATCTATTTCACTCTGTTCCTATCTATCTATCTATCTATCTAATCTATCTATCTTAGTCTCTTATTTAGGAATCTATCTCAGTCTCTTCATATCTATCTATGTATCTATTTTAATCTGTTCCTATCTGTCTCAGTCAGTTCTTATCTATCTATCTATCGATCTCATTCTGTTCATATCTATCTCAGTTTGTTGATATCTATCTATGTATCTATTTCACTCTGTTCCTATCTATCTCTCTCAATCAGTTCTTATTTATCAGGTATTGATCATAATCCCAAATCTTAAAATCCCGAATGCCGAAATCCTGAAATTTGAAATTCCGAATTTATAAAATCTCGAAAGATCAGAATCCCAACATTTAAAATTCCGAAAGATCAGAATCCGGAAAAATAGTCTTTGGGAGAATTTGAAAAAAAAAATGGAAATACCTTTATTTCTAAACATTTGCAAAATACCGTTTAAATAGTGTTTATACATTTGAAACTTTCAAAATTCATTAAAACCGTAATATGGCGACGGAAAAATTTAGTAGGCAATCATCATCATCTTGCGGCCTCAGCCGAGATTGAACTCACCAATACTTTGATTGGTGTAGTTCATAATCTTGTCAAATAGCTGAATTCTTGATGCTTCTCTAGGGCTATCAAGGGTGCTTTTATCGTGACACCAACACTAAATGGATTGCCAAACAAGGCTCAGAGAGATTCCATTCACCCTCCTCTAAGAGCAGGTTTTGAATTCAGAGTTTTCCTTCTCCTAGACCAGTTGCCATCCAAGGCTATAGAACCCAGTCTGCCCTGCTATTTACCTATAGCTGGAGGGAGAAGAAAGAGGATTCACACCTTTCCCAAGGGTATTAGCACGTAAGTGAATGTAATGGATTCGACTGGAATTCGAATTCGGCTCTCTGATTCCTCAATCCAAGCCGCTATCCATTACTCCACCGTACCTCGTAGGCAATACACATGTCAGTGTTTATCGCATTATTGGGAAATTTCAAAAAAGGCAGCAGCACATAGAAAAACCAATGTGAACGCATTCTCCAAAGTGAGTCTCTTGCCCAAAAAGAAAAAAAAAGTGTTTTTATCGTGATTAAAGGCTTAAAAATATAGTTAACGATCGTGAAAACTGACCAGTTCTTGTAGACTCTCTTAGGGCTTTTGCTCGTAATCTTTCATTATAAATTATTCATATATTCTGATTTCATATTTTTTGGTGAAACTCGTATATATGATCCATCGCTAAAGGTGTTGTTAAGTGCCTTGTAAGGGACTATTGGTTGAAAGATTTATTTTTGGAACATTGGGGTTAGGAAGTTCTTTTTGAGAGAAAAATGTTCAGGAATCAATATTAGAACAAAGTCTGTTTGTTAGAATAGATAACACAAGAATACAATTGATCAAAAATATGTTGTGTCATAGAATGGTTCGAAATCAACAGAGTCCTGGTTGATTGAGCTTAGCTAAGTCACAGAGAGAAATGTAAGTTTATATTACAAAATTCTGTGTCTGTGTGTGCGTTTGAAATGTTATGAGCAAGGTGAATTTTACTGGATCTTACTGACGACATGTGAAAAAGTCGCCTCTTTTAAGGAAAAAGGGTAGGCTCCCACGGCAAAGCGGGAAAACTTAATCTTGCACTAAAATATGTGATTGGTTATAAATTAACCAATCACTACATTCGTACTAACAGAACAAGCAAGCAAGCTAAAAAAGAACTTCCTTTGCACAATCAATTACAAATCAAAATGCAATTAAAGGGAGACAACTTCTTTCCCTTAATCTATGCATTGAATACAATTTTATTGCATGTTTGTTCTTGTATGTTATTTCAATATATACTTGTTGATTCACAGTTTGGAGTTTTTGTTGTTTACTTGAATCTTGTACGTTGAAAGTATAATAATATAAATAGTATTGGTCTATCTACAAACGGACACCTTTACAATTGGTAACACCAATGTTCCAAAAATAAATCTTTCAACCAATAGGCCCTTACATATGGTGACCCCGACGTGATTTATTAGCCAATCGCAGGCGAATAAATAGTAGGCGTGGAAAAACATAGCAATCGCTACAACCTGACCTCTTACGCTATCCTCTATAAGATCACAAGTGCCAGATCAGGCGGAAAATGGAGTACGTGGGTAGGGGCTACATATTCTTCACTTTCCAGGCACAATAGAGTCCAAAAGCATTTCTGAGTCCTTGTGGGTGGCAAATTATTTACCATCCTATAACCCCCTTTTCACAGACAATGTCACAAGCTTGTCGCTACGCAATCGCTATTTCCACAGATTCACCAGTTCTAACCTTCACTGCTAAAACATGCCATACTTTTTTTGTTTGTCTTTGTTGTGACCAAGTAAATGGTTAAAGAAATAACAAAACAAATGATGCAGATATATCATATATTAAACAGTAAGTACAACAGAAGAGTATTATACGACTAGTGAGTGTGTGTCGGTTGACCTAGCGTTCAATCCATTCGACTGTTCCCAAGGCCTTCTCTCCTACTAATTTTATAGTAGACAGAAGAGTCCAACATAGACTTTTTAGAGGGAGGGGTTGAAGGGTTTGTCAACCACAAGGGCTAAGAAACGCCTTTGAACTATATCAAGGCAGCAGAGTTGGGTCTAGGCAGCTCTCGTCCAACAGTACTCCATTTTGGGCCTGATTTGGCTGTTGTAAAGGTAGATGATAGGAGGAGAGGTCAGGTGCTTACTAGAGCGGTACAGAGAGCCGACCATTTTAACTGCATCCTTAGCAAGGGATCGTATGTACGAGTTCCACTTGAGTTCGGGTGTGAGTTTGAGGCCCAACAGTCTTTCAAGACAAGGTGCTTTCCAAAGTGGACCTGCGTTCATCCTGATTGGTGGTAGTTTATGGTCAAATCGGCGATGATGAAATGTAACTAGCTTGGTCTTCGAGGCATTGAATGTAACCAGTCAGTTTTTACCCCATTGGGTTGTTTGTGCAAGATCGGAAGAGAGATCATTTAGAGGTGTGCCCGTATATAGTCGTATAATCGGCATAGATGTTTACAGATAATCTGATTATATTCTTAGGCAGATAATTTATGCCAATCAAAAAGAGGCTTGGTCCTCTGATGAATGTCTGCGTTAACCTCTAAGACTCTGGAGGACTGATCATTGATGATTACTTTCAGGGACCTACCTGTTAGGAAGGATTTTATGATCGAGAAGACCTTTCCAGTGATTCCACAACTAGAAAGCTTGTGTTGTAAGACATTGTGCCACATCTTATCGAAGGTATTTGAGATATCCAGTGTTATGGTCCTCGAGGTGTGTTTGTCGTCAAGAGCCTCACTGATTCGGTGATTCATGGTAGTTTGGACGTCGGCAGTGAATCGGGCCCCGGCCGAAACCCATACTGCTCGTCGCTGAAGAGTTGGTTCGTTTCTAGGTACTCGACAACCTTCTTATTGATTATAGCCTCAAAAATCTTACTGATGATACAGAGGAGACTGATGGGTCTGTACTGTTCTTGAAAACCGGACATAGACTTGACACCTTCCACATACGTGGAAAGGATTTCTCCAAGCAGCGGGTTGATGTTCTATAATTTGGAATTTTGGGTTGATGTTCTTAAGGCTTTTGTCTTAGGGTCAAGGGCTTTGCTAAGTCTAGATACTTCACGTGCTGTGATGCTAATATTACTGAGATTCTGCTCATTGAGATGTGGGAACTTGGGGAGAGCTGGTCTTTGTCATGTAACGTTGAGTTAAAAGCAAAGATCGAAGCGAAGAGTTTCGCCTTATCTGTCGAGAAAAATATGTTGCCCATATATATATATATATATATATATATATATATATATATATAATCCCAATTTAATGTCATTAGGTTAATATCCGGGTTTAATTTTATAAAATCTCTTCCCTTTAAGGCTAATACATTACACCCTCCCCTAACCACAGTCTCGGGCTTTTCGTCAGAGGAAAACATCGGAATGAATAAATTCTGTATCAATTTTTCAACGGCTGTCAATGTTAAATTTCTAATTCCGACACGAACTCAGTCTATACACCGGGGTTGAATAAGACTGACATAGTTCCGTCGATTGAAATAAATCTATTCCCTTTGTGAAGTAATTTTGGATTTTGCTGTGTAACGCTATTGATATACTCTGTTATAATATATACACTGAGCTCTTTTGTGGATCATTTTAATATTTTATATTACTAGGAACCACATGGATTATATACCAACTACGAATTATTACCTATATATATATATATATATATATATATATATATATATATATATATATATATATATATATATATATATATATACATATAATTATAAAAATATGACAAACTGGAACGTTTTCTTTTTTTGTGACACGTTTCATCCGTTAGGATTTCAGTCGACTGAGCTTGTTAATGTTGCCACGTCTACACATGCACACAAAAAAAGAGACGCAGGTAATTTCAAATTTTTTGAAAGAATGTTTTTGAGCAAAGATATTTTTTCAATCTCGCCGAAATCATCTGCATTCTTTTTCTTTTTCTCTCCATCACCTTCGTCCCTGACTATCCCACGCTGTGACAATATAAAATCTTCCAAGAATGGTGATATATTGTAAGAGCCTGGACGCAAATTTATTGTGGCTGAACAAGCGATCAAGGCACTTTCCAGACATTTTCGTCTCAGTGAATTATAATCTCTTTTAATCGAATTAGCATTCCCTATGTCAAAATTATGGTCGGTTTTGTTACGATGAACAACCAATGCGTTTTGTGTGTTGTTATTTAAAATGTCCCTTTTGTGTTCATAAACTAAACAAAACGGAACACAACAGAATTCACAATAAGGAAATCCACATCACTCCCTCTGACAAGTGAGGTGGCGTTGTAATCATAAACACGATTACATATATACAAAAAATAAACTCATTACTCAAAGATACAGGCACGTAAGAAAAAATAAACAAAATAAATAACTACTGAAACACTAAATTCAACAAAGATATCATGAAACTGATTAAAAATGTAAATAAATCATGGTATTGACTCATCGAATATCACCCTAGAACAACAAAACTTTACAGTCTCCCTAAACCCCACAAAAATGGTATCCCCATCATTTCTGAAATATGCAGTACTCCAACAAAATAGCTAGAGCCATACCCATAGCAAATATTAACCCCTTTCCTTGAAACAATAAGTCCATCAGATATAAAGAAATTTACAAACAAAAATTTCGATTACTAATGGGATCCCCTCTCAGTGGAGTGATGGCGTGGATTTTCTTGGAATTT